CGTGGGCTCCACGGGGCACCGCCACTTCTGTCAGAGATCCGCAGACGTGGACCCCACGGGGCACCGCCACTTCTGTCAGAGATCTGCAGACGTGGACCCCACGGGGCACGGCCACTTCTGTCAGAGATCCGCAGACGTGGACCCCGCGGGGCACAGCCACTCTGTTCCACTGGCTCACAGTGAGAACTGACTTCAGCTTGGTGGCTTTGATTCTGGTTTCAAGAGAAGTATTAGTGGAAACCAATTCTAAATCAAAGACCCCTCTCAATGTCCTCGACTGCTCACCAAAAGGTCAATGGTTCAATGTCATTCAGAGGTGCCTTGGAAGAAAGACCTGGCAATCTGTATCCAAAATAGCAGCTGCCAAAACCCCTCACGAGCCCAATGCTACCCTGACACCCATGGGGTCCCCAGGAGTTGAGTTTTTCCTCAGATCTGTCCCCAGTGCTGTTCTTTTTCTCAGCTGATCATCCCACTGCTGTTGACCAGCCCACAGTGACCCTACAGGACAGAGGGAACCTGTCCCTGAGAGTCTAGAGGCTGTAAGTACCTCTGAGGGTCAGACTGCCTGTTCTTTTATATACTGACCAGTTGGTGGGTTCGAACTGCCAAAGTTTCAATTAACAACTTAATTCATTGTGCCACCAGGGCTCATCCTCTGCTCAATAAGATGTAAAATAAAAATGAGTTCTGATTAAGAAGACCTGTGATCACTTCAACTTTCAATTCAAGTAGCTAGATCCAACTGCACTTACATCAAAAAGCATTTCTATAACTTGCAAGAATAGAAAAGACAAGATGTTCCAAACCATCGGGTCCAGCCCTCAAAGCTGACGAGGAGCCAGGGGCTCTGCCTCCACCTGGAAGCCCACAGCAGTCACAGGGGCTGTGCTGTCCCAGCGGGGCGATGGCCGGCTCCCTCCTCCCTGTGAGAGCCCCAGGCAGCAGCCCCACTGTCAGAACAGACAACAAAGGCAGCTCTCCCCAACAGCTACACATTCAAAAACCCCACGTCCTCATGGCCAACCAAGGCTGCCCCATGAAGGCTCCAGAGACGGGTCCCTGCATTATGCATGTCACTTGATCTAAGAGGAAGGCAGCTGTACTCTATTGGAAACTCCATTGCCAAGAGACAGGGACATGTAGGGATGGTCCCTGAGGAGGTAAAAAAGAAACAGGATGTTTGCCAGGGAAGGCCCACCCCCAGGTAGACATCCCAAGGGCAGGTGCTCATAACAGCCTCCTACAGTCTCTCACACAGCTGTGTCTGACCCCTGAGAACACACTACCTGGAACGGAGTCTGGCTGTTGTAGTTTTTCAGTTCCTTGTTTCCGCCTCTAAACAGGAGCACTCTCGCACAGCTGTCCTATGGGTTAAAAAGAAGAAAGAGAAGGAAAATGCACTGTTAAAACAATGACAGAAATGTCCTCCACATGAAATGGTCCAGTTTCCACAGGACCCCGGAAACAAACCACTACTGTCCAGTCATCGCAGTACACACTGACCTGCAGAACAGAGCAGAACTGGCCCACAGGGTTCCCAAGTTCGCCATCTTTACCTCATTTTTCGCCCATGGGACGACTGGGGGAGTTTGAATCACTAATCTTTCAGTTAGCAGGTGAATGTCTTAACTACTGTACCACCAGGGCCCTGGCAGAAAACAAGCACTTTAAAATATACATACCACTTTTACAATCCCACTTTTACAGACAATTGCACTTTTTCAACTGTAGACTACAGCAAGACGAGTGTTTAGAGACATTTAACGTGTGAAATGCCGTAAGTGAAACACAAAAAGAAAGAAAATAAGAAAAAAACCTGGAGATAGCATAAATGTTCTAAAATAGAGGAAAGTGGGGACGTCTTCTAGAACATTCTTCATCTAAACAGTTGTAGGAAAGAACAAGGCAGATAGATACAAACTGACAAGGAACACATCCAAAAACTGCTAAGTATGGAACAAAACTCTCTCTGTGGTTCATCTTGCAGCCAAACCACAAGGGAACTGATAACAGCAGGGAGTTACTAACTCCTTAGAAGAACCAAATGCAAAAGTTAAAAAAAGCAGTGACATTCCAAGGACAGAGCTCAGAAAGCAGGACAGAAGGACGAAGAGAAATGAGAGTCAGAGAGCAAAAGTCAGAAGAGCACGCTTATTCTGTGGCATTATAAGTAATGTTCTTTGTAAAAGTACGTGAATGAGTAGAAGGAAAAGAAATTTGTTTTCTAAACTTTCACTGAAACAACAACAAAAAGAAAAGGTCTAATGCAAAAGGACAAAAAGATGCAATGTGGTGGGCAGGTCTGACTTCCACCTGCTTCATAAAGGGGAACTCTCTCCATCAATAAAGTTCGTAGGACCAAAATAGGTCAGACCTCCCCTCCCTCCCCCACATGCTCCTGCACCTTTTTAAAACCAATCATTGGATCGGATGTTCATTGCAAGACTCACAGACTTTAATCACAGTTGTGGGGTTTATGACGGAAATCAGCTGGTAAGTCAGAGAGGCAAAGAATACCTCACAATGCAAGTCCAGGTTTAGTCCAGGAGTCTCAAGCCAGAGGAGCAAGGCACACTTCCTCAATTAGTCAAAGTCCAGACTCCGTTCAGCAGCACAAACGCAAGAAGCCTCCGGTTTCCTCAACCATCCAGCAAGCTTCATCTCAGAGCAGCTGTCAGGCAGTATTCCCTTTAACTATTCAGCAATAAAACCCTTTAACTGTGGACTACACCTCCGAGCAGTTAGAAGTCAGCTTTTCAACTTCAATGATAAAGCAAGGAAAACCTTTACCTGCGGCTTGTATCTCCAAAATTCTTCTGGTTACAGCTTGCACAGTCTCTTCACCCTCTCTCTCCCACAGAGATAGGGTTCTCAGTCTTCAGAGTCCCCCCTCCTGCCTCTCACAGTGTGGAGAGTGTTCGCTTATACTGGTCCCACAGCTGTTGCTGATTTACAAGACAACGTGCTTGCAGTTAAGGTAGCTGGAGATCGTGCCCTCAGTGGGGGCTACCGCAATGGCTAGGAAAGCCAATTTTTAAGGGTTTTGACACCCCAACTAAGTACAAAAGGCAAGCTTAATTTCATTTTTGTTTATAAAGTTAAGTCCCTGTTTTGTATATGTTGTTAAGTGCCATTGACTCAACCACGGCCTATGGAAACAAATCTGAATTTCACCATATATCCAACCCTGTCCTCACAGTCTCTGCCATGGTCAAGTTCATAGTTGCAGTTACTGTGTCAATTCATCCTGTGGAGGCTCTTTTCTCTGATCTCCCTCTTTCCCCAGCATAATGCCTTTATCCAAGGAATCCTGACAAAACGCCAGCGTACAGGAGAGGAAGTTTCAATGTCCTTGCTTCTAAGGAGCACCCTTATTGTACTTTCTCCAAGAAAGGCATGTTTGTTCTTTCAGCAGTCTATGGGACATTCGGTGATCTTCTCCAGCACTACAATTCAAAGGCATCAATTCTTTTTGTTATTCTTATTTTATGTCCAACTTTCAGATGCCTATGAAATAACTGAAAGGACCATGGCTTGGATCAGGCATACGTTAGTATTTAAATGGAAATCTTTGCTCTTTAGTACTTTGGAGAGGCGTCTGAGAGCAGATTTTCCCCAGTATACCATGTATTTTGATTTCATAACTGCTGTTTATTCACAGTGGCCCTGGAAGACAGAGCAGAACTGCCCCCCAGGGTTCCCAGAGCTGTGTTGAACTGCTGACCTTTTCAGCCAGGAGCTGATCGCTTTAACTACTGTGCCACCAGGGTGTTGGTTGTGGATCCAAGTAAAATGAAATAATTGACAACTTCTATCATTTCTCCATCTTTTAAAATTTATTTCTTTTATACTGATTTGCTTACAAAGTTCATATACATTGTGTTTCATACTATTCTTCATTCACGTTGTGTTTCATGCAAATATTTCCAACCATTATGTTTTATAAATTTAATCATCACTGGACTGTGCCCACCATTGCCTTGTCTTTTCAAATCCCTGCCGGATCTTACCTATTTCCTTTACCCTCTCCCTCCATCCACCAAACTGTGCAACTCTGACACAAATGGAGATCTGTACACCAGTGTTCATAGTAGAGTTATTCACCATCCCAAGAACAAGGAAACAGTCTAAATATCCAACCACAACTGAATGGACTGACAAACTGTGGTACATTCACACACCGGACTACTATGCAGCACTCAGGAGCAATGATTTTTAAACTACTACACAGCATGGGAAAAACTGGAGAGCATTATGCTGAGTGAACTATCTCAGTCTCATAAGGACAAATACTGCATAAAACCATTATTGTAGAAATAGGTAATTAGTAAAACCTGGGGATCTAAGGGGGGGAAGGGGTGGGAGCAGAAGGATGAGTACAGGTAACATTTCTCCATCTCTGATGGTGTTGTCTACTGGCCTAGTGATGAGGATGTTTGGTTTCTTGATGTTGAAATGCAATCCATGTTGAAGTCTTCAGTCTTCTACATCAACCATTCCGAGTATTCCACACTTTCAGCAGGTAAGGTTATGTCATCTGTGTAATGCAGACTGCTGATGAATCTTCTCTGACACTGACGCCGTTCCTCTTCATAAAGCGCGCTTCTCCAAAGATGCGTTCAGCATCAAGACTGAATGGGTATGGAGAAAGGTCACAGCCCTGACGCACACCTTCCCCGATGGAGATGACAATCACAGGAGGTGGAAGAGCGGGGTTACACTGTGGGCGTTGTAATTAAAGTTACTGGAAAAGGCATATGAATGGCTGAATGGAAAACCAGTCTGTAAGCTTCACCCAAACCATAATAAAAATGAAAGGAAAGGCGTTATTAAATAGAAAAACGTAAAATGCACTGCCGTGGTTCGGATTTATTCACAGCTGACCCCGTCCGAGGTTTCTGAGACTTCAGCCTGCACAAGAGGAGATCAGTGATCCGTTCTCCCTCGGCGCTGCTGGTGGAGGTGAACGGGCAGAGACGCACGGGCTCTGGGTGAACCACACAGCCCTGTGGAGACGAAGCACCAGTGCTCCCTTCCTAAATAAATGTTGTTGCTAAGTCACTGAGTCAAGGACAACTCACAGTGACCCTGTGAACAACAGACCTGAACCCTGTCTGTCCTCTCCTGGGCCGTCACCATCATTTCTGACATACTTGAGACCATCAATGCCATGTGTCAATCCATCGTGAGTCTTCCTTTCTTGTGCCAACCCTCTGCATTTCCAAGGGACCGCTCCAAATTCCTGGAGAGCAATGATATAAGATTGAGGACTAAGGTGTGCCTGATTCAGGCCATGGTCTTTCCAGTCACTTGCTATGCATCTATCAGAGCTGCACTATTGAATAAAAATGACAGAAGAATTGATGCCTTTAAATTTTATTGTTGAAGAAGAGTACTGAATAACCCATACACTGTCCAAAGAACAGACATGCTTTGGAGAAGGTACAGCCAGATCACTCCTTGAACACAAAGATGATTAAAGCTTCGTCTCAAATAACTTGCATATGTTGCTAGGAGAGGCTATTTCTTGGACACGGAGACTATGCTTTGGAAAGGGGGGGGAAGAGCAAAAGATAGGAAGACCCTTAACCAAGTGGACTGACACAGTGACTGTCGCAATGGGCTTGAGGGAGTTGGAGATTGTGAGGATGGCACAGGATAGGACAGGGTTCAGATCTGTCATACTCGACTTGATGGCACCTAACAACAAAATAATAATAATATACTGAAAGTATGTGCAATGAAGCTTTATCATCTTTGTCTCCAAGGAATACTTGGGCTGTACCTTCTCCAGACATATGTGTTTGTTTGGGTTTGTTGTTTTTTTTGCAGTGCATGGGATATTCAGCACTCTTCTCCAACACTGCAACTCAAGGGAAAAGATGAGCGGGAACTTTGTTATCATAATCTTGATGTAAGTTCCTGTTTGTAAACATTTCTTAAAAGCAGGCAATGTTAATTTCTCATACACTTTGCCCCCGTCATCTAACAGATTCTGATTAGGTACAATTCCAGGTGCTACAGAAGCAGTGGTGAGAGAAGAACAGATCCTGCCCTTGGGAAGCTTACGTTCCAGGGGAAAGACTCAGCATCTCTGACAGGTCATTGCTGGCTGCCTTCACCCGTGGTGACTCCATGCACGATGGGACAAAATGCTGCCCAGTCCTGGGCCATCCTCACGACTGGTTTTAATCAGACGATCTCGACGCCCATGGTGTTCTCTGGCTGCCTCTAAGCAATAGGTCACCAGGCCTTTCTCCCTAGTCTATCCTGGTCTGCAAGCTCTAATAGACACTGGTAGGTATCACAACAACACGCCAGTCTCCACAGGCAGATGCCTGAGGCTGTGTGTCAGGGAGGCAAT